CATTTTGATTGACCAGAGTCTATGGTGGGTAATTGAACGTAGTGAATTGAGGCAGAGGGTTTTCAGAACCCACCTACTGTATTCACATAGTTCATACCCACCATTTATGTCTTTTGTTTTTTTCTGACAGGACTTCTTTCTGCCAATTTCACACAACAATCATGTTGACACTGGTAACTCTACTTCTGAAAAACTGAGAGTAAATGACGGAGGACACCAAAGTGATAATCTTGCTAACAGTACTAGTAGGAACTTGCAATTTGCAAAGAATCCATTGAGCAACCACTCAACATATTTTGATATACCAATTGATGAAGTAGTCGGCAGTCATGCATCAAAATTGGATGAGAAACTATTTCAAGATGGAAATCATTTGCTGAATAGAAGCAATGCAAAACACGACACTGAACCACCATGTAAAATAGTAAAGACAAGTGCAAAATTGCCTCCAATGGTTGGCAACACTAATACCCCAGTAAAACAGTTCAAGTTTAAATCAATAAAAAAAACTAGTCAGGTTAACAGTCCGAGCAGTCTGCTTCACTTGAATACTGTGCAATTTAACAATCGTATGGTACCTGGAAACGTCAATAATAACAACTTTAAGTTGCAGCCAGCTAATCCTTCCAGTAACTCTACAACTCAGTATGCAAGTAAAATCAGTGAAACTCCACCACAGGCAAGAAGTAGACCAGCAATTCAGACTGGGATTCTGACAAATTTGAATTCTCGTCAGTTTAGTGGGCATTCAGCAGGAAAACATGGTATGAGAAACAGTAACAATCCTCTGCAGCGAATATCTTCCGGTCTTGACAAGTGTACCCAAGAATATCCACTGGGCATGTTAGATTCAAAGAAGGTTAATTCTCAGGCATTGAGCAAACCACTGTATGAGAACAATACACAGACTGTTGCCAATCACAATGTGACAAATGACGACGCTCCAAAACCAAATGTTTCAAATACCAAAACAGGTACAGGATATACCACTCCAGTTCATCAATCCAGCAAACCACGATTCACTGCTGCCAATTCACAGTTTGCTGCAGCCAGGAAGTTAATGACACCACATCCAGTGAGAACATCACAATTTACAAAGTCCCCTTCCACCCCATCAACATTTAGGTCCTTACAATCTGACACATCTGTCAATACATTGAAAACTTCTTATCCAGCAGTTTCATCTTCTGGCTCATCAAAGTCAGCCGCTGGCGCATCAACATCTGGTGTGCAACAACAGATACACATTTCATCAGCAGAAACAAGACAGGCTTTTGGCAGACCTACTACACCACATACTCCATTATTGACATCTAGGATAGCTCAACTTTGTCAGAAATCTGGTGGAAAAATTACACCTCAATCAAAGATGAGACGATTTCCTGGACCAGCAGGTTTATTACCCAAACTAGTAAGTATCGTACATTAACATCAACATTAGTGTCAGATTTCGCCCAACAAACCACATTTTTTTTCAAAAATTTTAATGAAGACTAAGATTTTATTGAAAAATGCTTAATATCATGCAAAATGTTACATCCAATTTTTATTGGGCAAAAAAATATACATTTTTTGAAATGTAGTTCCTAACCCCAGTGGCACTGATGTTTGTTTTTTCCAACCGTTCAAAGTTTTTGTACAGTATGGTCAAAATTATTATTCCTGGACTTACTGCAAAATATGGACAAATGTTACATGACTTATTTCCTATCTATGGAAGCAGCGTAGTGGTTATGTTCCTATGAGTATGAGAGATAACATTATTCTTTTGTCAATCTTGGATGTAGGATTTTACAAAATTTAGCAAAGTATCAGCCTTTACATTGAAAGAAAATTGGTAGTTGTTTACTATATATTGTTCAAGTATGATGTATATCAGTAAAGACGTGTTGTAACAGTTGTATCACTATCAAGCCGTAATGCCTTTTTTGTGGGAAATACACATGTGCCCACTTATGGTGGAAGTTGAATGAACTTTCTGCTTTACAAAGAACTTGAACATTGTCATTTGTGATGTTTGAGCATACAATAAGTATATTTTGTGGTTATGTGCACAAAGACAATATGAGGGAGTGTCACATTTTAATATACAATTCATATTCATGAGAAAACTGGAACTAGGCCTCAAGACAGTCATCTTCTGTATACAAACTGAACTGAATATTTATAGGTAAAATAAATATTGTACTTTAATAACATAGCACTATAATTGTACCTAGATTCCAGGGCAAACATTAACTGATGTGCATGTACCAGAGGAAATAAAGACAGATATAGTAGAAGAGTCAGGTGTTTTGGTAAGTGCAGGTCTTTTATAAAGTAAAGTTTTTTTTCCCCCGTCTTTGTCTATATTTAACGAATAAAATTTAATAAAATTCAGCAAAAGTAGATTATGGTGCTTACCTGTTTATATTTAGTGATCTGTTTTTTGTGAAAAAAATAGATCCCTGTATAAAACAACTTGTTGATGTGTCTACATTGTATGCTGTCGTTTCCAGCACAGCATACTCTTTGAAACACATTGACATGTATTATCAGAACTTCAGATTATCAGCACTGCTGCTACTGTATCTGCTGTCATCAAAATACAATAAAATGACATATGAATTACTGTTTTTGTTGCAGGAGACGTCCACAAGTAACTACTATGGTGTAAATGAATTCAATAAAGGTGCATGGATGAACATGAAATGTGACATGGGTTTAGATGAAAAGGATCCCCACAGTATTCTAGCTCAAAGTAATATTGCTGTGATTATGAGAAAGGTATTGATCAACAATAATCCTAGTGCAATTTTTAACAATGTGTCAAATGTACAATGAAATCCACTAACACAAAACCTTATTTGGTAATGTATCCATTCTTCTGGCTGTAAATTTATTGATGGCAATACCATGTACCGTGTTTATCCGGAACATGGAAAATTGCCAAAAAATAGGGGTGGGCGTTTGCCAGGATATCTCCAGCAAAAAAAGAAAATTCTCGAAAATTGACAACACGCCGATCGAACTGCGGCAGGGAATAGAACGGCAAATGAAAACATGCAACAGAAATAAATGAACAATATGCAACATTAGAAGTAAAACAAAAATAATGTATTGCTTATAATGTGACAAATAAACCAGAAATAATAAAAATCGACAGTGAGGAGTCATTTGAATTAGGATTTTCCCTGCCGACAAACACGCCCAATACGTGTGAACTCAAATGTCAGGGGTTAAACTGGTAAAATGATTTCCGATCTCGACAAATTACGAATCAACTGTCATACAAAATCAATAATAATTTACAAATTTACATAGTAAAAATCCTAAAAATTCATAGCTGTTTGAAAAAACTTCTCGGATCTTTATTTGTACGTTCATTGCCATCTTTGTCAAACTACAACAGTTTTACTTCTTCCTGGAGTTCATCGATATCGTCCCACACAATTTGGACTTAGCACTTTTAATCCACCTATTTGGCACTTTTTATTCATGTCTAATCACAATAAAGAGACAAGAAAAATGGGGTCGCTCTGCTGCGATGGCACACGATGCTTTTGTTTACAGTCTGGCAATCATCTTTGACCTTTATGCATCTGCTTTACTGATTGGCTAAGAATGACATCACTACTAGTATTTCATCATAAAGGTCAAATGTGACTTTGCTTTCCTATCCTACTCGATGCTTATGAATCATGGTGAAAGCACAGTCCCTCTATATTGCAAAATTGCTGGCCCCAGTTATGGATTCGCAAGCTGCTACCAAATATTTTATATTAAATAACGTGATTTCAACCACTCTCCCAGGTACGGGTTGCTACAATATTGCAACATTGGCAGAACGCGCATTTTGCTGTCACAGCTATTTCGCGTTCTTGTTTTACGCAATTAACTATTATATTTAAAGAATTTTTATAAGCATCACGACAGACTTCAAGAAAGTCAAATATTAATACAACCACAGTCAACGAATAGAAAATAGTTTTTTGTTATTTTTTGTGTAGAAAAAGACCCCCCGGATATTACCTCAACTTCTTTATTGTGTCAAAAGTGGGGGTGGGCGTTTGCCCCGACATGGGCTCTTACCCGGATAAGTATGGTACAAGTGCATGTTAAGAAATAAAGCAATAGCCAGAACATTGGCTCACATGACCAAGAGTGGTATAATTCCTGAAAATCTTCATGTCTCTTTGTTTATGCTTTTATTTATGCTATTTGTACTTGCAAATGCTACAGTTGGGTTGCTACGCTATTAAAATATAATTGCTACAACTAACTGTACACAAGTTGTAAACTATGATTGCTACATAACTGTAATCTTGTAATCCCACTATTGTAAATCTGACCTTGTTTAAAGGGGAACCACTCAATCCCATGGATTGCACCACATGCTCATGGGTAATTAATTAACCGCCATTTTAAACTCAGGATTTTTCAGTTTCGACCAAAACCAATATTTACACATCAAAAAGCCAACCAGATGAGTGTAATCGCTAGCGTACATATTCATGCCCCTGTGCAAATGTATTTAGAATCACAGCTTGATCTTTAAACATCATAAATTTCCTGGAGCTCCCGCCATGTCCCGGCTTGATTCGGATTAGCATACTAATTGTGGTGGCTATCTTGCCCCTATTTATAGGATCGGTTCCCTTTTAAGACTATGCCTTTTTCAGGTGCAATGTCTGGAGTTGACTAGAAGTTTACGCTTCATTCAGGCACAGGGCAGTACAACTGCTTTTCATTTTGCTTGGTACAAGTTCGAAACATTCACTCAATATTGTGGGTTCACAGATATAACGCAACAGCTTTTGTCAGTCAACTAAAGTACACACGAGCCACTGACTTTATACCATTGGTGTTTCTAATACGAGTATAATTCATATGGCACTTGCTTGTAATACATTGTACATGCATGTCAGGTTTTGTCATATCATTTTCAAGTCTACACAAGTATAATATTCTGACTCTTTGAAACTAGAATTTATTACTTTATTTCAGGCAAGTTTGAAGCAGCTACCAAAGGGAAAAATCCCCCATCTGTGTGTTTTAATCAAGTCTGTTGATTACAATGATGCAACTGCAGTTTTTAGAGATTCATCTGGTGAAATCCATGGTACAATTCATAGAAAACTACTGGAAGATTATCAGAGCAA